TATATATATATATATATATATATATATATATATATATATATATATATCTACAATTTTATTTTATTATTTTATTATCAGAACAGTGAAGAAAACGTTACCCTGAAAATGCACACTCCCGTACAGTAGGTGGCGGTATGCACTATGCAAGTTGGTTGCCATCCGCCAATGGAATTTAAAGAAGAAGAAGAAGCCGCTACATGTACAGCTTCTTATCACTGTCTATGTACATTTATAACAAATACCACACATATTATGGTAATCAGCGTTGCATATGTGTCTGACCTAAATACCTTTTATTGTTCAGTCTTTGTTCATCCTGCATCGCTCTTTTCTGTTCTTTAATGTAACGTTACTGCCGCGACAGAGCCTCTCACAGCTGTTAGCAGACTGTTAGCGAGCTTTACCCAGCATGCAGTTCGGCGGAGAAATTTTATAAATGTACAATTATTAGTGCTACAAATTGTTTATCTGTCACAAACTGTTGAGTCGTGGTGTTTTGCCCTGTTAAAGAGCATTAGTTGTGGGTTGTTAATTGTTATAATAATTGTTGTTATGAAGTTATAAAGTAAATACAGGTAAGACAACTAGCTCCGTCCGTAGCACTCCTGGCGGCGAACAATATATTTTGCTGCCTGTTGAAGAGCAACAGAAGTTGTTTCGGCTGTGCACCGGTATGACGTATGACGGTATATGAAAAATTCATATCATACGGGAAATTAAAACCGGTATACCGCCCAGCCCTACCCTGAACCTGTCCCTATCATCTAACACAGTATTTTTGTCTCATGTCACTCTCTTTGTGCCCCCCTTTTAACTCTCCCATGCCCACCATGGGGAGACTCGTCTCACAGTTTGAAAACCTCTGCTCTAAAGGAGGCTTCCAGGAGGCCTCCGCATCATGCCGGAGCCCCCTCAGCGGACTTCTTGTGAAGCAAAGGAACAGGGTTCTATTCTGGACAATCAGCACTGCTGTTCTTCTGGTCCAACCAGAGTCTCATTTCCAGAACCCTTGGCATGAGCTTTCCCAGGGAAGCTGACATCCCTATAACTGAAGCAAAGCCACCATTGTCCTTTTATAGCGCTGGGGAACTGTCTGCTAGTCCTCAGGCACTGTTCCCAAGCTCCACAAATCACTGAGGAGGCAGCCCAACAAAATGCAGAACCATCAGCATCTCAGGGCGAACATCTTTCACCCCTAGCGCCTCGCCTCTGTGGAGTTTTCTGACCGCCTGAGTAATTACTCTAAACAGGGGAGGCTGCCTTCACGTAACACATACGCACACACCTACATTGTTCTACTTTTGATAGATATGCATATTTCCCAATTGTACGTACGATGGCCGTAAGGGCTCAACAAGCAAATGGAGAAACATCATCACCAATTTAACGACACATACGCAGCATTTATAAAAAAGCGCTGTAAATTATAGAAATGCACTGCAAGAAGGTTACAACGGAAACCGTTTCCAGCGGATTATGAAGTTCTTGAAGTCGGCTAGCTAGTGTTAGAAAATCACCTCAAGCTTTTGGGCTTATCTAACATTGTGATGCAATGATTGAGATACTATTCTTAGGGCATGGGACAATGTGAAAATGTCATGTCACAATTATCCTGGGCACAATATTTATAATTCACGATTTTATCCCGCTAATCATCAGAATATGCTACAAACTCTTAAAATGGCACTAAAACATACTGGAATTGCTTTACCTTGTACTTGTTTAAGAAACAAACATTTGTATTGTTTCACAGATGCATGTCTTTCTTTAGGTAAACAAACATTTCAAATAAGGTAATCATAAAGTCCCCTTGCATAAATAAAGGATAATCCTTTTTTCTTTTAAAACAGCAACACTTTATGAGTCTTTTCTTTTTCTTTTTTAATGAGGCTCTATTTTTCACTTCTCTACCATGATAGTGAGCTAGAGAGCTTTTTAAAATCACTTGTGACGATATTTATTATTAGGCCATCAATGGAAATTCACCACGATCAACTTATTGTGTTTGAATATCACGATCTGTGATAAAATTGTTCCATCCCTAATTATTGTAGGTATCTGCTGCTAACCTAGCGTTACCCTTTTGCTTATTATTCTAATACTTCATGTGATCACGATGACAGATAGCAGGCTTCAATGACTTCAAAAGCAACAAACCATGGCAACAACAAGCAGCCGTGTGCATCACTTTTTAGTGTCCCGTTGTCACATTGATGTTGTCGTGTATCGTTAAGTTGGTGAAGATGTTTCTTGATTTGCTTGACCCAGCACTGAACAACACCTGCCGCCTGATCACTGGCTGCTTGAAACCCACCAACACAAGCAACCTTCACCTCCTCGCTGGCATTGCCCCTGCTGATAGTAGACAGGAAGTTGCCAGCCGAGTCGAGAAAACAAAATCTACTACTAGTGATGAACGCCATCTCCTCCATGGATGTCACCCTCCGGCCCAACGGCTAAAATCAAGAAGAAGCTTTCTCAGCCATGTCCAGCCCCTAATAAAGTCTCGGGAAGAAACCAGACTCCAACTCTGGAGGGAAAAGCTTGAGAATGACCCTCCTCCAACTGTCATGGGAATACCCCCCACTGAAAACCTTCCCCCTGGCCCAGAAGCACCATGGGCTCAATGGAAAACACTAAACCGCCTCAGAACAAGAACGGGACAATCAAAAGCTGCTCTGGTCAGATGGGGCTACAAGGCTGGCTGGCCCAACCACATGTGAATGTGGAGAAGCAGACCATACTATGGAGCATTGCCTTGTCTGCCCTGTACTACCCAACCCTTGAAACTTAAAAGACCTTGCAGTGTTCAATAAAAATGCAAAGGACTGTGTAAAAAAATGGGAAACTGTCATATAACCATCACGCTTCAGTGAAACGAAAAGAAGAAGATTTGCTTGCGTTGTGTCCATTTGCATGTGTTTTTCTTCATTTGCAGTGTGTTGAACTCTCAAGGCCAACGCACAATTGCATCCTATAAAGCCGAACATAGGATAGGATGACTCAGCTCTCCCATTTGTTAGCTAACTACATAGCAAAATACAGTTACTTACCGGATGTATGGCTCCGTGCTGCTGTCCCCAGTCAGCTGGTCCTTAGTGAGGTAGGTGTTGTGGGAGGACGAGATGAAGTAGTGCGCCAGTGGGCGTTTCATGTCTTGGTGAACCCTGGCATGTTCCGGGTTAAACGCACAGTTCTCCTTAGACAGCATGTACATGGTGAAACCATTGGGGGTCATGAACTGGTTCTTCTGGGCTGTACTGGGCAAAAGGCACAAACACAAGTCAATAAAGGAGGGCAACTATTATATGGTGAGCAAACTGGTCATCATAGTGCAGCTTGTAATATACAGTTCAAAATTTTACAATTTTAGCTCAAACATGTGTTTTTCTGACATTAAGCTGATATGATAGCATTTTCTCAAATAAAAGAGAACCATATTTTGTCTTGTTTTTGAAGGCAGGGCCTCCGTCTCTTGCCGTTTAGAGTCGGCCAGGTTAGGTCAGGTTATGCTTTTCAGAACTAGTTGGAATGATGTTTTGATCGACCACGTCGGACATGGAATGCGTCTATAGATGTTCAGAACAGCCTCACTGTAATGTCGTCATAAAGCTGTCACAGTCACTGAAGTGGGCATCAATGTTGGATCGTTGATCGAGGAAAGTAAGTCAATTTCATCGTTTTGACTTTAGAGTTGGTCAAATAAAAGTTGGTAGAGTACTAGGGATTGTAAATCCGTGTACCGACATTTTAAAAACTATAAAGGACCACTGCGATATTAAATTAGCAATGAATGTGCAGCAGTTTCTTCACTAGACTTTTGCCACTAGACATTTTCTTGGACCTCTGTCTTCTAATGTCCGTACACATGCAAGAAATCTGGGTGTCTTTTTCTTTTCTGTTTTGGAGGAATACTTCCCCCCCAAAATGCCGATTTGTATATCAAATACTCATCGGTGTTATGTTGATTCTTTGAAAACCACTGTTACAGTGTTAAACGTAGCCCCCATTTACTTCAGTTTATCAAGACTTTTGATTGTTTTGGATTGTCCCTTCACCTTCGAGGCACGAGAAAAAGGTTTTCTTCAAGAATACAAGTTGAGTGAAATATGAAAAATTTTAGACAAGAATGCCAGTTGTCGATTTTGCATGACTGGAGACCATCTTATATGCTTTTATCTCATCCTGTATTGACTACTGAATGGTTCTTTATGTGGGACTCAGTCAGTCATCCCTAGATCGTCTGCAGCTAGTTAACTCAAATTACCACCCTCACCATTGTAGGCCTCCACCAACCATGTCATGGTTTGTGCCAAATTTGAAGAAATTCCCTCCAGATGTTCACAAGAATAGCACTTGAGTTTTAAGCAAAAATTATCTTGTTGAAACACCCAGCAAGACATGGAACAAAATTAGCATTCATTTGGATGGATGGAATTGTTTGTTTTTTTGGCAACCTGACTTATCCAAGTCCAATATTCACTCTTCTTTTAGCTCTATTTTGGTCTCTACCAACTTATTAGAAGAGCGGGACATGTAGTCACAAACTTTGTCACTCTCCCATTTGGTGCTGAGCAGGTAGCGTCTAACAGGTTTGGCTAAGCCGCTTTGCTGAACCAGATAGGTCGGTGACTTGCAATATATTGTCACTTAGCACCGTACCCCACTCATTGAGTTCATAGGTGAGGATGAGGCTTTGGGCGTGGATGAGTGAAGCGTCCTCCCCCTGGTCCTTCAAGAAGTCCCTCAGGTCCACAGTGGAGAGTACACAGTCGTTCGCGGAGTAGCGAATGAACACGGTGTCCAGGTCTGGTCTCCGTAACAACTCCCTGCAGAACACCTCAATCTCTCCGTGGTCCAGACGACCGTCAGCTGACTGGTCACATTTCTATCAGGAGGAACAGAGTCAGACAAAGTTGATCGCTCTTTGATTAGTTTGCCAAGCTGGTCTCACTTCGTCCAAGTGACACAAAGTCAATCAGATATGTGTGTGTGTGTGTGTGTGTGTGTGAGTGTGAGTGTGTGAGAGTGTGTGCTCCACTACCTGGAAGAGACTATGGGCATACTGGTCACTCAGGTCAATATTGATCATCTGCAGCAGCGTCTGGACTTCGTCGTAGCTCATCTTGTCATCGTGGTTCTGGTCGGCCCGACTCAGATAAGAATGAATCCAGGTGACACACAAACAAGGTCAAGGAAGCAGCAACAGCTGGAACATGTGAAGTGTTTGGTGGCATTTTACCAATATGGAGCTTCACAGCACAGAAGTTATTCTTAATTATTCAGATTCTGCCTATAGATACTTTGTGTTGTATTCCGGGGTCTTTTAGACATTTCCTTCAATCAAAAAAGTGGAGTGCGACAAAAGTACAAACATATTTTTACTAGATGTTGACATTCTGGTTTGGGACTTGCAAAGGTCCTTGCAGGACACTTATGGAGTTTCCATAATTTATGAAGTGTTATATTCACTACTGCTACATTTCAGTAGTCATTAACTACTCTCAAAAATTAGTTGAATAATCGATTAATTGCAGCAGATACATAATTATTTTTTTCAAATTGTTTTTGGAATGTATTTTTGGTTAGCTGCTTGAAATAAGGTCTGTGGTTAAGAGATTTTAACGTTTTCTTCTATGATATAAAAAAACGAATTTCGAAGCTTTTAAGTGTCTTACAAAAGGCGGTTGCTAACAAGTGGCTAAATGAGGATATAAACATTATCCTGCCAAATGGAAGACTGCCTTTTAGCTTAGTGGTGGTGACTTGGAGTCATACTTAACACTTTTTAATTTGCAGATTGCATTTATGCTCCCAAATCATAAAGGTATCAAAAACATTGTTTGCCACGGGGCTTATTTTCTGCAATAATCCAAAATCTAATGTAAGATCCCACCGGCTCTCTGTCAAGGGAACCAGTGCTATGCTAACTCCCTAGTTATCCTACAAAAATAGCACTCTATTGTCTCTGCATATGCAGTGTAGACAAATGAACAACAATTAGGATATTGGTTGAGTTTCTCCTTCTGAGTCATGTTGTCCACCCTCCCCTGCAGGGTTCGGATGCCGCGGGCCCAATGCTGAGCCTCCTCTTGGCTCTGGCACAGGAGATCCAGGCTCTTGCGGGGCCCTTTGAAGACCACCGTCAAACACCGCTGCTCAGGGACGGAGCCGACCATCTGCCGCAGCGTCTCTGACTGGCAACCCTCGCGCACGCACTCGACCTCCATGACGGAGACTGGGGATGTGTGAGGGGAACAGAGAGGAGGAAGGTGGAGGAAGAGGAAAAACGATGACTACGTCCACTTCTTACAGTCTATGGTTATTGCTCAGTTTTTCTGAGGTACGGTTTTAGTATTGATCCTTAACAAGAACAAGATGAGAGTTTGGATGGAAAATGAATTGAAGAATTTCTCTGAAATCCTACCCAAAAGACTAAATGTCCTCTGTGGGTCTCCTACAGAAGAGACAAAAAGAGTTTCCGCGGTCAGGGCTGTGCACCACTAAGGTTTCTGACATGTTCCTACTTGAAGTAGTTGCTGTTTCAGCAATACAGACGGATAACAGATACATGTAAGTTCACACCCCTGGGTTCCTTAAAAATAAACACTTTGAAGATCCCTCAAAACAGTCCCAGTGCTCCACATCATGCAGTCGCTGAAATCTGTAACGGGTTGTATATGGACCCAAATGCAACACACAGGATTCCAGAGATCTTTGGATTTTATTACTAACTTCAAATATAGCAGGCAGAGTTCAAACAGGGTCAGGATCAGAAGGCTGGTGGGTTTACAGGGAGTCAGGCAAGGCGGGTAAAACAGGGGCAGGCAGGGTTTCCAGATACGGCAGGCAAAGTTAATCAAAATCAGGATCAGAAGGCGGGTGGGTTTACCGGGAGTCAGGCAAGGTGGGTAGAACAGGGGCAGGCAGGACCGGTAACATGAGATCAGTCCGCGAGAGTGTGCTGGAGAGTCTGGCATAGAACCGAAGAACAATCTGGCAAATGTGTCTGGGAGGCAGGAGTCTATATAGGGGCTTGATTACTGATCAGGGGCTGATCAGTTTAGACTAATGAGGAGGGAGTGACTGACAATAAGAGTGAGGAGGGTGTGGAGCTAAACTGTGACAGAACCCCCCCTTTAAGGGACGGCTCTCGACGTCCCAAAAACAACCACAACCAAGCCGGGTGGGCGGAGGGGGCCTGGAGGAGGGCTAATATTCCTCCGACATCTCCATCCTCTCCTCATCATCATCGGTGGGTGAGTTGTCCGGGCCAGAAGACGGCTCCTCTTCATCCTCCCTAACGTCTTAAGCTACAGATGGAAGAGAGGGAACAGAGTCTAGCTGGGTAGCCCCAGTGGGCACAGGACCCTTGGAGGGCTGGTCAGGATGGCGGCGGTGAAACTCCCTGATGAGAGGGCATCCAAAATGTGTCGAGCTGGGACCCAGGATCTTTCTTCTGGACCGTAGCCCTCCCAGTCGACCAGGTATTGCAGGCCTCTCCCACGGCGGCGGGAACGAAGCAGGCGACGAACCGTGTAGGTAAGCCCTCCATCGATGAATCGAGGTGGTGGCGGAGGCTGTACAGCAGGAACCAGTGGGCACTCTCGAACCGGCTTCAACTTGGAGACGTGGAATGACGGGTGGACTCGCATGGTCCGGGGCAGCTTGAGCCTCACTGCTGCTGGATTGATGACCTTCAGGATCTCGAATGGCCCAATGAACCTGGGTGCCAACTTCTTAGACTCTACCCGCAAGGGTAGGTCCTGGGTCGATAGCCACACCTTCTGACCAGCCTGGTAGATGGGGGCTTTGGAGCGACGCTGGTTGGCCGCTGTGGAGTACCGGTTGGCTGATCGGACGAGCGCAACTCTGGCCTTGGTCCAGGTACGGCGGCAGCGGCGGACGAAGGCTTGGGCAGAGGGGCAGGAAACCTCTTTCTCCAGGGCCGAAAACAGTGGCGGTTGAAAACCGTAGGCGCACTGAAACGGGGACATTCCAGTGGCAGAGCTGGTCAGGGTGTTGTGGGCGTACTCCACCCACAGGAGCTACTGGGACCAGGACGATGGATGCTTGGAGACCAAGCACCGTAGAGCCGTCTCCATCTCCTGCTTCTTGCGCTCAGTCTGGCCGTTAGATTGCGGGTGGTATCCAGATGACAGGCTGGCTGTGGCCCCGATGAGTGTGCAGAACTCCCTCCAGAACACGGATGTAAACTGAGGTCCCCGGTCAGAAACTACATCAGTGGGGAGACCATGGAGCCGGAAGACATGCAGCAGGACCAGCTCAGCAGTCTCTTTAGCCGAGGGGAGCTTGGGCAAGGGTACAAAGTGGGCCATCTTGCTGAACCGATCTACCACTGTCAGGATGGTGGTATGTTTGTTGGACAGTGGTAGACCGGTAACAAAGTCCAAGGAGGTGTGGGACCAGGGCCGATGGGGCACAGACAGAGATTGCAGGAAACCAGCGGGAGCCTGGTGGGATGGCTTGTGCTGGTTGCAGACAGGACAGGCATTGACGAACTCCCGGGTGTCTTTCTCCAGAGTAGCCCACCAGAACCTCTGCCGCAGAGCATCCCTGGTACGCTGGCTCCCGGGGTGGCAAGTAAGTCTGGAGCTGTGGGCCCACTGGAGGATGTCGGACCTCAGGGTCTGAGGGATGAACAGGCGGTCAGGAGGACCGGGCTGGTCCTCCAGGGCGGCCTTGACTCTCTCCTCTACCTCCCAGGTGACTGAAGCAACCAAGACAGGGGCAGAAAGGATATTGTCATTGCAAGGGGTGGAATCGCCTTTATCAACAAACTGGCGGGACAGGGCGTCAGGCTTGATGTTGCGGGTACCGGGCCGGTAACAGAGGGAAAAGTTGAATCGGGTAAAAAACAGGGACCATCTGGCTTGCCGAGAGTTCAGTCTCTTGGCAGACTGAATGTACTCGAGGTTCTTGTGATCAGTCCATACCAAAAAGGGCAGGCTGGTCCCCTCAAGCCAGTGACGCCACTCCTCAAGGGCCAGCTTAACAGCTAGCAGCTCTCGGTTACCAATGTCATAGTTCCATTCAGCAGGTGAGAGTTGCCTAGAAAAGAAGGCACAGGGGTGGAGTTTCTGGTCGCTGGCAGCCCGCTGGGATAGGATGGCCCCGCCCCAACATCGGAGGCATCCACCTCCACAACGAACTGTCTCTCTGGGTCAGGGACTTGGAGGATAGGGGCAGAGGTAAACCGGGCCTTAATGTTCTGGAAGGCCTCCTCAGCCAAGGGTGACCACTGGAACAGCACTTTGGATGAGGTAAGGGCCTTCAGTGGGGCAGCCACGGTGCTATTGCTTTTGCTGGGCACTGGGATATAAAGTGACCAGCCTAGCCACAGTACAGGCAAAGATTTCCCCGGCGGTGACGCTCACGCTCCTCTGGAGTGAGACTGGTGCGCCCCACCTGCATGGGTTCAACGCCCCCAGGTTGAGGCCCTGGGATGATGCTGGTAGCTGCTGGAGGACCTCGAGGCCGGGTGGAAGACTGGCGATCTGTCTCTCCCTTGCGTCGCTCCTGTCACCTTGCCTGGATGCGTCTGTCCACTCAGGGAAGTCAGTTCAATTAAGCCATCCAGGTTGGCAGTTAAATCAAAAGAAATCAGTTCATCTTTAATATACCCAGCGAGTCCAGCCAAAAAAACCTCACACTGTGCTGCCGAGTTCCAGTCGCTAAGGCGTGCTCTCGTACGAAACTCAATGGCATAGTCAGCAACTGTCCGGTCTCCCTGACGCAGTTCCATAAGTCCCCCGGTAGGATCAGGACCCTTGGAGACCGCCCCGAACACCTTGCGTAGCTCCGCAGAAAAAGCCAGGAACGAAGAGCAGGCTGGTGTGCGCCTCTGCCATTCAGCGGTGCCCCAGAGTCGTGCTCTGCCTGTCAGGTGGTTGATTGTGAAGGCTACTTTAGCTTCCTCCGAGGCAAATGTGTAGGGCTGCAGGGAAAACAAGATGGAGCAGTTGGTGACGAATGGGTTGCAGCCCTCAGGTTCTCCAGCATAGCGCTCTTGTTCTTGTTCTTGTTCCAAACAACCAAGATGGCCACAGCCAAAACGCCAAATTCAAGGCTTCGAAACCTTCGTCCACAAACCGATGTGTGATGTCATGGTGACTACGTCCACTTCTTTTATGCAATCTATGATTATCCACATATTTAAACAATTATATCTCTATCTCTCTGACGACTGGGTTTTCACTGAACCTTACATCACTGGAGAAGAAATAATGAGAGAAAAGTGAACCTTTAGTCTCTTGCGCAGCTCTTCCAACCACAGGGCATCTTCATGCTTGAACAAATGCATTACACAATCACAGCTCTGGCTTTTGACCTTTTCTATTTGTGACATTCACTTACAGACTCAAACCCAGGTCTACTCGCAGTTTCCATCTTGCATTCTCTGCATTATCTCTTAACAGTACTTTAATGGTAGTATTAGTAAGATACAATATAATCATTATTGTGTATTCATTTTGCTCTGTGCACATATACAGTCTACATTCTAGCACCAATGGCAGCTCACTTTCTCTTCCATGCTGTTATTCTTTGCGTGGTGTGTATTTAAGGTGGTAATTTTGAGTCACTAAAACACACAAAGATATCATTTGGACAGATATTGTATTGACACACACATCTGAGCAGCATAGAAAGATAATAAAAGATATCGGAAAAGATAATAGTATATTGTCTCTATCCATTTATTTACTTTTGTTTGACTGATCTTAAACTATTAATTTATTTTCGGTATCTATGTACTGATAATGCTTGTCACGCCACTTTTTACAATATGCCGTAGCTTCTGCTCTCAAGTTGGATTTCAGTTTGGATTTGGTGCTGTATCCACACACTTATTCTACTGCATGTCAACAGGGAATCATGGCTATGGGGTACGAGGCTTGGCTCCAGGACGGGCTCCTAGACCTGTTGGGTCTTCTTTGTAAATACCACCTTGTATTTCTGCAGGATCCTGAATGTGTACGGAGACAGTGGCTTGGCTGCTAACATCACTCATGACAGCCCTGCACTGTTGATTCTAATTCATACTAAATGTGGACACTCTGGTGAGCTGTCTGTCTCACACACTCACACACACACACACACACACACACACACACACACACACACACACATACACATATACACACACACACACACACATCCAGCGAGGTTTCCACCAGAGTTTCCCTCACAAACAGGGCTGTTTGTGCATTATTTTTCGTGCGTTTGTTCTTCCATACCGCACTCATTTCACGTCCATACTTTCACAATCTCACCCCACTGTCTCGAGGATTTGAATGAACCAAACCAAACATCACTGTTGCCCACACGTCAGCTGGTGTTTGCCCAATCTCTATTTGCCTGCGGTTTCACTTGAAACTACACAAAACTACAGTAACAGCCTTGTGCACTGTGTACCTGACAATACAGAGACAAAATACTGCTCAAAATACATCTAATGCTGTTCCTAAGGAAGATGCTCAGAGAGTCTATGTACATGATCTCTTCAAAATGTGATGTAATTTAATTTCATATATATATATATATATATATAAGTGTCTATGAAGTGTCTGTTATATTATTAAGGGGGTTATAAGCAAAAAAACAACAACATATTTTCATTTTCTAGATACTTTCACCTCTTCATAATTCCTTCAAAAGAACCTCTCTGGGATTAGGGGCATCAGACCTTACCTCATCTTAAAGTGTCAGAAGACAAAAAGGTTGGAAACTACTGCACTAGACCACCCAGTCACAAAACAGCAAAAAAACTAACATTTGATCTAAAACAAGCAGAAGGAATTACTGGGTGCGGCTGACAGGCTTCCATTTTTCTGGTACCTACGTGTCGAGTCCAAGTAAATCAGCTTGGGAGTTTTTTAGAAGCAGGTATGGATCAGAGTACAGACAATTCAGCTAAAACAAGACATGAACAAGCAGAAGGTAGCTGTGGGATTAGGGGCATCAGACCTTACCTCATCTTAAAGTGTCAGAAGACAAAAAGGTTGGAAACTACTGCACTAGACCACCCAGTCACAAAACAGCAAAAAAAACTAACATTTGATCTAAAACAAGCAGAAGGAATTACTGGGTGCGGCTGACAGGCTTCCATTTTTCTGGTACCTACGTGTCGAGTCCAAGTAAATCAGCTTGGGAGTTTTTTAGAAGCAGGTATGGATCAGAGTACAGACAATTCAGCTAAAACAAGACATGAACAAGCAGAAGGTAGCTGTGTTCGGATGAAGAAGCCACATTTTTATTTAGAAGATACAAGTGAACCGATATAGAGGGTGTCACCCAAACCTGCACACCAAACACACGCCGTGCCACATCACAAGCATATCTAGACATGTGGCAATTAGAGGCTCTTGCCCTGCACTTGGGAGAGCTAACCCAGTTGTAGAGTCGTATGGTAACTATATAGCACCAAACCACAGGAACCAGGGCAGACTCCCACCACCATATAATGTCCTATAATCTCACTGTTTGAACTGCAGCAGCATCGGGTGCTATTTATGGGCCAAAAATAGTTGGGCTCTATAATCAGGGCACCGTGTGTGACCCTCAGAGAGCGGAGACAAGGGGGGAGTAGATGTGCAAGCAACAAGTAAGTGGCATTTTAAGCGAACAAAAATAGATACTGTGTAGCCATGTTTTACCTGACACGCCCAGCACTGAGCCCTTCTGGCAGAGGAAAGGCCTGCTTGTTACCAATTATCACTTGGAAATGGTTCTTTACCTCTGGGTGGGGTAGGTTGGCTAAAACTCTTTTGCCACCAACATTAGTGTGTATATATACAGGGTTTTTTTAAATGAGGGAAAACTCACATAAAATAGGTGATATACTCCTTTCCCATTACCAGTACAGGAGTAGCATTTCTGTTCTTTTTTTATTCTGGTGTGTCACGTTCGACGCAACAAAAAACGTGTTGGTAAACGAGCTTGGTAAACAATGATTATGTTACAGCGGTACTACTTTAAAAAAATATCTGCTACTTATTCAGTCTCTCTTTCAAACTCTCAAACCAGAGTTGGTGATTGTTGGAACAGTAGAAAGGCCAACAAAGACGGATTTGATGAGTTTGATTTGATTTGGTCAAGTTTGAATGAAGTGTGTTTTATAACAAACAAATTGTGTAAAACTGAGCAGGTCAGCCTATGCCTATTCAGCAATCAAGGCACGATCTGGAGATGCGTGACTAATTTACTTTTGTTTTTGGATCCATTTGCCTTATACTGTCACATGAAATGTAACTCAAAGCACTGGGGCACTGGGGACATATTTTGATGTAAATTGTCTTACTCGGTCAATCTGTGATTGTCATGAGCAAGTCTAAACGGTCCTCTGCCTCGTATCCTGCATGTTGTGGTTGTATGTTTTTTACAATGACCTGTGCATCAATAAATTGCCTCCGATTGATATAAAAGGACACTTACAGGATTGCTGGTCCTTGGCCCAGCTGGAGGTTTTGTGGGACTGGCACCAGACAGTGACGCCGTCTCCCAGCAGCTTCAGAGTTCGTCGCTTCTGCCAGCGAGGCGAGCGGACCTTTACATGTGAATGATGAACCCATTAAATCTCATCGAGTGATCACTAACAACCAGTAATAGATTCTACTTAGCAAGAGCTTTACCTTTACCATACTGGAACCCTGCAACATCCGCTTCACATCTTCATCCTCCTGCACTCCTGGAAAGCAAAAAGACAAAAGGATGGTTGAAGAAAGACGGATACGATGTCATGAAAACTTGACTAGATTGTGTGCAGGATGACAGTGAGTATTCACAGAACCCGTATAACTCAGTAGCACTGGAAGAAGACTGGAAGAGTGAGGAGAGAAAAGGGAGGATGAAAAGAGAAAATCGAAGGGTAGAGCATAGTCAGAATTCAAAGTTAGTGTATATATATATATATATATATATATATATATATATATATATATATAT